ACTGTATACTAAAAAAAAATTAAATACTGTATTTTTGCATGGGTTCCGTCGAAGACAGAGAGGCAAACAAAATTTCAGAGAATTTCAAAATATTTTATTGACAATGGAGCAAAAGCAAAAGAAAAACGTATTCGTTGCACTCAGAAAATTTTGACGCAAAAGTATTTTATGACAAGTTCAAAAATAGGTTCATTGCTGTTTAGGATGATGTATAGTTCTAAACCATAGGATGATGCATAGTTCTAAACTATGGCAAGATGAAGGAAATACATAAGAGGATAATGAGATAAAAATGCCAGTCTTTTGAACCAGTCATAAAAACCATGAATTTCATCATCCTACACAGCAATGAACCTATTTTTGAACTTTTCATAAAATACTTTTGCGTCAAATTTTTCTGAGTGCAATGAATAGGGTAAGTTTTTCTGGCAGAATGAAATAATTCTAGCCAGTGAAGTTCATGCAGTCTTGGAGAGTCTTCAAATTTTCCCAAATTCAGAAGGAATGGGTGAGAAGGGGGGAAAGCGACAAGTACAATCTACAGGGCTCCGGATTTTTTGAGGCCCCTGTAGTGCCGATTTTTACTAATACTGTACACAGTATTGTTGGCAAAACTGGTGGTAGACCTCAACCTCAGATGGGCGCCAGAGAGAATTGTGAAGGCTGAAGCCCTTCTTTCCTGGTTTTCAACCTCCCTGGTTGACCGGGTACCCGTTTAGAGGCTTAATCTACCACTGAGAACAAGAAATAATCCGGCATAAGGAATAGTTGAGGCCAAAATAGCCTTTCTTTAATTCCAGGAATGTTCGCTTAGCCCTTCAAGTTGAGCTTTCTTTTCCCAGCAAAGGGGCTTTATATACTGCGTGGAACCTCTTCATTTTCACACATGGATTTTTGTGTATTCTAGGGGAATGTTCTGCTATTTTCGCTCCACTGCATCTCTTTCATTTATGCAATGAGCGAGATTTAATTTACGTTGTGTGATTGCGGTTTCTGAGTAGTGTCGCTCTTGAACATCGCGAGTTAATTATGTCATTCGGAAAAGTGCCATTCAAATAATTCAATTATGAAAATATTTTTATATTTTTAAAAATTGATTTATAAAAACAACAGTGCCTTCTTTTTATCCGGAAAATGACCTGATAAAATGAAAAGATACAAATTGGGAATAGATTCAATGATCGAAGTAGATATATCTATATTCAATTCCTTATCTTATTTTAACAAATGCAGTACTATATATGTCTCAAAATCAATATCTTTGTACTTGATTTATTTCTGTTGCACTCGTATATGTGTATACAGTATTTATTCTGAGTGCTCCACACGAATAATGCGCCCTTAATTTCATTAGTCTGATATAATTTTTGTTGTTGAGATTAGCATTTCTTCATTATTGTATCCCTCTATATTTATTAGATATACCTTTACTTAGTGGCCATGGAACATCAGACATGCCGATTGTGCCTTACAAGGGGAAATCAATGTAATTCCGAGTATTGCGGACGAGAAGTCATCGTGGGGCTCTCACAAATTCCATTTGAAAAGATGCCCGAGGAATTCTGGAAGAAATTCCCGCGGAAGGATGCATTACATTTAGAAAAGAGTGGTTCCCAGGTAAGAGGAAAATTTGAAGATATTTCGTTCTAAATAATTCGACCTGTGCGATAAACGAATAACGCATTTAGTGAGTTCGAATGTTTCATGTGTACAGTAATTGGATTGTACAATAGGCAACATCTGATAGTACTACTGCGCAGTATAGTGAAACCATATGTTTCACCAAACCAATGATAGGTTGCCAGTTCATTCCACTCACAAGAGATGTCGCTCGCGTAAGGGATTCGAATATCACGCGAAAACTCCATACTCATAATAATTTTTTTCACGTCTAATTCGCTTATAAAGTAATTTGTTTTTCAAATGAAGTGATGCATTGTTATCTTTTATTTAGCGAAGATCCGAGGTAGAAGAGCAGCTATTAGCCTGGGGATTTCGAATAGAAGCTATGTTTTCCGATGGATACGCAGCAGATGATACGATGTGTGACGATGAAAGACGAATATGGTCTGATTCTTCATACAGCTTGCTGTATAAAACAGCAGTTAAACTTCTTCCAGACGAACAGTTGGTACACTCTGAGATCATTTTCCTGTGTCGGAAAACAAACCGCAAGGAGTTGCAGCAGCATCAGCAACTCCCCAACAAAGTTCCCTGCAGCGAAGTAAAATCCCTAGGCGATTCTTTTTCAGCAATTATGACCACCGAGACCGCGGAGGAATCCTCAACGCAGAAGGAACCCGTCGCCCCATCTACCGGGAAAACACCTGATGAATGCTCAGAAACTGCTGCTGATGCGGAAACGAAGCAGGAACAACAACCGGCCTCATCTGCTACAGCAGAAGAAGTAATAATCCCAAGAACTGAAGCTGCAGGTGTGACGACGTCGCCAGTCACGGTTTCCCTCGCGTTTACCGCCTGTACTTTTGCCCCTGGAACTTTTGTTTTCAATTTCAATTAATACAATGCAAGGGAAAATGGTTGCGCATCCGAAATTATGGTGGTGACGGGTTTTTGGACGGATGACATCTTGCTTAATTTTCATCATCATAAACGATAGTTCATGAAATCTTGCGATTTTGTTTGTGCTCCATTCCTCCTCTGATCGTCAGTTTCGATCCTGTGTGAGTGTGATTTCCCTTTTTTGTGTGCATATATTTCCACAACGATGAAAAAGAATGTTTAATAAATCACCATGATGGAATTTTACTTGAATCATTCATTCCGCAAATACTGAACATCATTCAAGCATGAAAAATCAAACAAACTTTCAGCAATTTAGAATTCGCCTCCATGATAACGTTTCCATAGCGTAGTTGAAGTCCATTGACATTGTTTCAGCCAATTATCAGAATATAAAAAGAGGAGATCCATTATGAATAGAATCTATCGCATCAGTATCAAGAAAAATTACAACAGTACAGTACAGCTTTTACAAATGCAATCATTCATATTTTAGCGTATATTCGATAAGAGGAAGGTAACTTGGATCAAAAAATTTTTAAATTGCGGGAACCGGAAAACCAACATGAGAGGATTCGTCTTATTTCAATGCTTCATTCAAATTTTTATTTTTAGTGAAATAATCTCGCATAATGTACTTTTTAAATGGATTTGAGCCCATGATGAATGAAGTATTCATTACGGGATAAATTGTCAAAGTAAGATTAACTTCCATTAACAAGACACAAGAACGCCATTGGCATTACTGATTTATTTTTTAAGTACTTTAACTGCCTTTTTAAAATTTAGCCAAGCTTTGTACCGGTAATAAGGGCTTTATTACACTTAAAAAAGCCCTTAAAACCATCAAATTTTGCTGTAGGGTAATTTTTAAACGCACTCCAGAATTTACAAATATACTGGTAACGCAAGTAATAAAACTGATCCATTCCTGGATGCATTCGGTTACATAGAATTTTTGTTACACCAAACGCCATTTCGCAGGAAGATTGTAAATACGGTAATTTGCATTTTGAAAATAGACCATTCAACACTTCCTTGAATCCAGCATGACCTGGTAAGGTATTCATAACTTTCTGGATTTTGAAAATTTCAAAAACAAGGAGTACAAAATTAACTATACACCCTACTTTTTCAGTCAATCTGATGTATGGAAAATTTCAAGCTTAGAGTTCAAAATTTTTGAAATTCGAATTTTCAATCCGAAATTTTCGTCATAAGGGTCTTTTGTTATGCGGAGGCTGGTGATGGAACAGCAGACGCAGCATTAATTTGTGCTTGATGTATACAGACCCTGTTTATACTGTTGCAAAGGTTATATGAGATCTGGATTTTTGGACTAGGTCAAATTCCATGTCAAGATATGCACCAGGAATTCTGGAAATAAAAATCGCACTGTAAAATGTAAAAAATAAATAAATAAAATTTGTCTAGACACATTTTGCGTTATGTAACAGACTTATTGAAGTGGAACTGATTTTGTATTCAGGCATCTTCGTAGTTTTTTTTCTGCGCCACACTGAAATATATTTAAATTGGATGTGAATGAAAATAGCAATAATTCAGAATTAGAAAAATGAAAACTATTCATTTCAAATTGAACCAGCAAAGAGTTTCTCATCCCCCCACAGATTTGCATCACAGAAACTAGCAAATGCAACACGTTTCTCAATCAATAGAAAATCACCAACTTATTTGAGAGCAAGTATGAAAAAAAAATGTAACAACAAAGTGGCTTTGGTTATTTACTTCAGGTCAGAACATTTTAGAAATTTAAGATCTTATGAAATGACTGTTCACTTTTTCTTATCAAACATGGGTCATAATACCGTCTCTCTTCGCTTTCTGATTCCCTCATAGCATTACAGTACAGTATACAGAAAAATGCAGCTTGTTTACTTATTTGATTTATCCACTCAATATTTGTGTCCCACTTGATTTTACAGACTTGATAAATGTACAACACTATCACGTTAACTTCGTCTTCACGAGCTTTCTCTCATTGGGCAAAGGGCTTCACAAACAGCATCTGCTTCCCGCCAAAAGGGCTGATTTAGAGTTAAGTTCCTGGTGTTCCCAATCCAACATTGTCGTCCAAGAAGCAGGGAAAACCGGCTTGGGCAATGAAGGAGAGAAGCACCATGTGGCGCCAAGCCCTGTGACGTCAGAGACACTGCGGCGAGCGGCTTTCAATAGTAACCATCTAACCACCCCAATTCTTGATTCTTATTACCGGTTTCCGGTTTCATCTATTCAGTCCTTATTAACCGAGGTCGGGCTGATGGTAACCCAGCAGCTGATTTTCGAGTTCTTTCTTTCTTCATTTTTGAGCAGCAAAGTTATTCAGAAAAGTTGAACTTCCTTGCGGAATTCTTCAAATTTCTTGACAAGTGCACTTGCATTCTCTCAATGATTAAGGATAGCTGAATCACTATGCTTGGGGCTGTCATTCCAAATACTGTAGTGTCTTAACCAAGATGGAGTGCGAAACACGTTTGTGAGAGTATCATTGAATTCATTTTAACAAGTTTTCATACCTTTTCATGTGTGATTATATGATCCGAAACGAAGCGTGGTTATGATAAATATCGGGAATCGATTGACTCTTGAATTTTTTCGTGGTAAAAATAACGTGATTCTTCCTGTTTTTTGAGTAATATAACGAGGCGATATTCTGTGCAGTTGAAAAGGCAGTAATTAGATTACCTGCGCATTTAGTCATAAACGAAACTATTGGAAATGGGATCTTAAAATTTGCCGAAAAACTTGTTTTGCCTGCCGATGAACTTCATCTATAAGTGAGTGATCTTGATTTCATGTGCGACGAAAGCTCCAAGGCCTTATATATACTCGTTCCGTCTATCGCCGTCCGCAAAATCAGGACTGCAAAACGGCTGTATTAGCGGAAGATTCCCTTTTTTTAAAATCTGATGTGTATTCCCTTTATTTACTTCCAAATGACAAGAATTGAGTGACTGAGTGCTGCTGGCATCAGGACGAGTTATTGTAAAAAGTTTTTTGAGTCATCGTGTATGAGACACACATTTTGTTTTGAAAATTACATGAAATCTCGAAAATCAACTTTTTTTCTTTTGTTATTCCTGTAATTATAAGTCCTCATCCATCCCCATCATTCAGCAACACTGTTTTGTGCTGATGAAAGAGTAATGGGAGCCGTCCACATCTGAACTATCACGATTGTCTTTTCAATGGAGGCTTTCCCGCACTGTCAACACTTGCGCTATTATCCAACCTTTCAGATTTATCAAAAACTGACCTGGGAGTAGTTAGGACGTTAGGTCAGGTTATCTTCGTTATACATAACCTGACCTAACATAGCTAACATAACCACCCCAGTCAGTTTTTGCCGAGTCCGAAAGAATGGATAATAGCACAGATGTTGACGGTGCCAGAAAGCCTCCACAGAAAAGACAACTGCGGAAGTTCACATGTGGACCCCTCCCCTTACTCCATGATCACGGTGCTGCTGAATGACTGAGGGCGTGAGTAAACCGTTTTTCAGAAGGGTGTCAAGATGTCACTAGTCAGGCGTGCAAAAAGCAATACCTGCTGTCGTTAGTAGATGGAGCCAGACGCCTAGCTCCAAATAAGCTCCTATCGCAAGGACGAGCTTATTTTTTCATGTAGTTTCTTGAATCGACAAAGCAGAAAAACTCATTTTGAAAAGTGCTACTGCATAAAGTTAGAAAATGATAGCTGTGATTATATTTTTCCGCTAATTCAAATCGCGGAAACTGCTGAGTATTTGACATTTTATTGTGTGCTGCTCTTGTCCAAGAACACTCAACCTCAAACGTGGAATTGAAAATACTGCGTAATAAATGATAGAACATGAAACTTGACAGATTCTTTCTAAAATTAATTAGAGGCGAAATCATTGAGCTTACATCTACAAATCAATGCAAAAATGAGCCAGAAAGAATCGCCAACCATGAAATCGATTTATACTGAATTTCCACCTCCAATTTCTGCCGTGGGAGTGATGATACTTACGTTTTCAAAATTTCTGAGAGAAAAATTGAACATGTTGCCCTGAAATATTCTTTTGCTGGAGGTTTGAATTTTGCAATGTAAGAGTCCAACCCCAATTGGAATGCCAATGTTCGTCCTGGTACATTTTGTGGCACTAAATTGAGGGTGTTGTATGAAAGAGAGGTCCAGTTCATCATAAGAAAAATCCATTACAGGAAAAATACGCTTGTTCACAGCATTTTTGGGGCCAGTCAGTGTATTTTAGAAGAGAAAGAGCAAAAATAAATAATTGTTCTCAAGCTCAAAGATAGTTTCTTCATATTTTATTTCAGAATATGTATCAACTCAGAATGTATTAGATTTTTAAACACATGATGTCCAGTAAAAAATTACAGCTGTTTCTCAAGATTTTGTGTGCCTTTGAGTTAGCTTTGTATGAAGGGCCATCTTGAAGGAATCACCAATGTTTCTGCATAAACTTCTACTTCTTTCTATTTTCAATTATAATTAGAGTAACATGGAAAAAATATTTTTCACTGATGTAAATTCAGAATAGATTTTTTCACATTTATCCTGAGTTTTTGGTCAGCATTGGGATGTGATACAGTCAAAAGTCTTACAGTGCAATGATATCCTTGAAAAATGCCTGGATTACTCAAATTTCTGCCCAATTTTTAAAACTGGGAATATATTTTTTATGGCACTACTGAGTTGGGACTAGATTTGGGTTTTCCTTGAGAGCACAATTTGGGGCACTATGCAATGGTGGCACCAAATCATGGATTGACTAATTCATGCATTATGTTCAATTTTCAGTTGACTTTTACTAAAAACTGAATGTCTAGCATTTACTAGACTATCCTATTGAATGCTAATGAATGTATTTCCTGTGGTGATTGAAAAAATGAGGTGACGAAAAATTGACTATGCTGATGATGTGTTCTTTGTATTTGTTTCCAGGTTTTGCTTCAATTCGAGTCATGGAAAATACACAGAGATTGATCTTGTTGAAAAAGATTGAAAAAACGGGTGGTCCATTGGATTTGGGGGGTATTGCTGTGTTTGGACTAGATCAAATTCCATACGGAGATATGCCTGAGGAATTCTGGAATGAATTTCCACCAAAGCATGTACTAAATTTCAAGAATGTGAGAGAAAATGCTGAAGGTTTTACCAAGCTACTAAAATGATAGAAATGAGTGCTAAATATTGTAAAGGTGTGTCATGCAGCAAAATTAATAAAAAATTGAACTGCATAATCCAGTAGCATCATGAAGCTGCATCTAGAAGTATTTTGCGGCTATTAATATGTCCCATGAAACACTTGCTAGACCAGGGTCGTTGTTTGTGCCACAGCTTTGCCCAATCACAATCACAGCCATTGTGATTGTGATTGAGCAAAACAAAGTTTCAGACCTTGCAATAACGATTGCAATTGGGCATCAATTATTTGAAGGCTTGTGAGATGCAATGTATGACTTTTTCTTTGGTAAATTTATTCAAACCATGAGTGAAATTTGATGAAAAATGGTTACCGTGTCCATTGAAGGTGTACATTGCTAGATGGAAGAGAATATACCATATTTACTCACGCACCCTTGAGTAAGGCATGCACATGGGTTTTTTAATTGGAAAGTTTGCAAAAATTGTATCCCTGAGTAAGAGGCGCACCCCAATTTTTAGCAACTGTAAAACCACAAAATTGCAAAAATAAGAGCAAAAATGTGACTTTGGACATGAATTGAACATAAATCTGATGGTTTTAAACTTAATCAGTAAAAGAAGTTTTCTTATTACATTTGTTCCAAATTTCTACATGATAAAAAAGTTAAATGCGCACATAACTTCATAGAACTTCTTGAAAAATGTTTACCCCCTTATGGCATGCACCCCTTTTTTCTTCTGAAATTTGAGAAAAAAGGTGCAAGTGGTACTTGCGTAAATACGGTATTTAGTTTTGTATGCCTTTGACTGTGCAGATAGGTTGGCACTTCAAGAAGCTCATCATGGTATTTTTAACTGGTAATTGTACTTGAAGGAAAGAGTTGGGGATTCATTCATTGAATAATACCTTAGAACAGGTAACTCAGCTTCATTCATAATCTTCATTGCTTAATCTCTACCAAGGCAGATGTTTCATGTTATATGCCTGGTGAGAATTCAAATGGAATGCGAAAAGATTGTTTCGATATGATGCAAAAGTATTGTTTTCATTATTTTTCTGTGGTACTCTCTTCATCCGTTAACAGATCATTTTTTAGGATTGATTTCGGATGCATTAGAAAATTATTACAATAAACATTAAAAGAAGGGGCATGGCATTTGTGAAAAAACTTGTGATTACCCTTGCAATTGCAATTAGGCAATGATACAAAGAAACCCATTGCAATTGAGATCTTGTGACAAAATTTCAATATGCTTCCTTCTAACAATCAAGACCAATAGAATTGTATTCAAAAATATGTGGTGTCAATGGTTCTTATTCTCAAATTAGAGGGCCGGGGGGGGGTTAAATCTTGAAATTTGAATCTTACCCCAGCATTTCCTTCTGTTTTGAATTAAATTGCGTCAATTGATAGGGGAAATATATACTGGAACTCAATTTTTAAATGGCATGAAAAAAGTAGATCATGTAAAAATGCAAATTTGAGCTTAACTACTGGCTCTGTAATTAACAGAAATGTTACAAAAATTCCCGCGCATCTTGAGCCTGACACAATTTCTGGTTTTGGCTGTCCCAAAAATGTCTTTGAACATTTCATGTGTTGGGAGTTAGGTGCTTTGTATTTAGACTCATTTTGAATTTCCCAAGAAATGTTATGCATTGTTTAAAAAGATCAGAGACCATATCTTCAGAATGAGTTCATCACTTTCTGAAACACAGGAACTTATCTTTGTTCGAGGAAGAATTTTTGTATAATTTAATTTGGCTTATTAATTCAGTATTTTGTCTTGTTTCTGCTTCGTCATTCAGGGAGGAATAAAGCAAGCATACAAGATTTGGAAGAAGCTAATCATCTGTGGTTTCCGGGAGGAGCCCTTTGTTGCAGTAAACCCTGATGTGTCTCGCTCCGATCCCTCATCGTCACCAGTCATGAGGAGCGATGGCTGGATCTCCGGTATTCCGAACTTCGCAGGGTTCCCGACGTTGCGGTGGTTTTTCCATAACGATTTGGACTGCATTCGAAAGTTTGTGCACGTGTACCTCGTACGTCATCCAGGTGACATAAATAAGGAACGACTTCTAGAGATGCAAGTAATCCGCAAGGTGGGAATCCCAGCACCTGCTGCAGCATCTTCACCTGCAATCAACAGTGAAGCGAGTCAGGCGACATCGAAACAAGAGGAATCAGGCACAGCACCATCTACCAGAGAATCACCGCAGGCGCTGGAACCTTCACAAATGGGTGCAATTACTGCTGCAGAACTGAGGCAGGGAGACTCACAACCCATGGGACCGATCTGTTTTTCTGCCTGTACTTTCAGCACCCCTGGAACCTACGTTTTCAAAATTCAAAAGTAAAGAATCAAACGGGTCGCCCTTGATGTATGATCTGGCTCGAGTTCTGAATTTTTTCAGTTGATGGGTGTTATGTCGAATGTCTTGTTGACTTGAAAATTTTTTTATTGATTCCGAATTTTTTGCATGAAATTTTCTCATTTCAATTTTCATCCTTTTCATTTTTTTTGTGACGGAAAGAATACGAACATTTTGTAGCGATGATGACCACATGCTGAAAAAGGCGATTAAAATAAATACACCTGCTTTTGTACCACTTCTTTATTTCTCGCGAAGTATAATCCAGAGATGAAAAACCACGAATCGCGAGGTAGATAGTGCTAATTTTGTAGTGCAATAAGAAACCTCGCTTGCAAAATAGAACACTTTATGTACCCTAACTGACTTGCCTGAGTAAAAAAAAATGTTGACGAATTTTTTTCTATTAATACAATAATAATTTCAATTAATACAATGCAAGGAAGAATATTTGCGTCATCCGAAAATATGGTGGTGCAGAAGGTTTTAGATTTTCATCATCAGACACCATAGTTCATGAATCTCACGATTTTGTTTGTGCTCCGTTCCTCCTCTGATCGTCAGTTTCCTGCATGAGTGTGATTTGGCTTTTTTTGTGTGTGCATATATTTCCTCAACGATGAAAAAGAATCTTGAATAAATCCCGATGATGGAATTTAACTTGAATCACTAATTCCGAAAATACTGAACGTCATTTGGGCATGAAAAATCGAACAAAATGTGGAAATTCAGAATTCGCCTGCCTATTAACGTTTCCATAGCGTTGAAGTCCATTTTTTCATTGACATTGTTTCAGCCAATTATCAGAATTTAAAAAGAGGAGATCCGTTATGAATAGAATCTTTCGCATCTGTATCAAGAAAAATTACAGCTTTACAGTACACTTTTTACAAATGCAATCATTCATATTTTAGCATTTATTCGAGAAGAGGAAGATAACTTGGATCAACAATTTTTGAATTGCGGGAAAATCCACATGAGAGGTTTCGTCATATTTCAATGCCTCATTCAAATTAGTATTTTCAGTGAAATACTTGCATAATTTACTTTGTAAATGGAGTTGAACCCATTATGAATTAAGTATTTATTAAGCGATAAATTTCCATAGCAAGATCAACTTCGATTAACAAGACACAATAATGCTGTTGGCATTAGTGGTTTATTTTTTGAGTACTTTAACTGCCTTGTTAAAATTTAGCTAAGCCTTGTACCGGTAATAAAAGGGCTTCATTACGCTTGAAAAAAGCCCTTAAAACCATCCAATTTTGCTTCAGGGTGATTTTAAAACGCACTCTTGCATTTACAAATGTAGTGGGAACGCAAGTAATAAAACTGATCCATTCCCGGATGCATCGGGATATGCATGGGATTTTTGTTACACGAAACGTCAATTCACAGTAACATTGTAATTACAGTAATTTGTACTTTAAAATTATACCATTAAACACTTCATTGAATCCATCATGAAATAAGGCATTCATAACTTTTTGGATTTTGAAAATGTCAAAAACAAGAATATGAAATTATTATTTGAAATCCTGATTTTTCCGTCAATTTGACGTATGAAAAATTTCAAGCTTAGAGTTCAAAATTTTTGAAATTCGAATTTGCTTTCAGAAATTTTCGTTTTAAGGGTCTTTCATTATGCAGGGGCTGGTCATGGAACAGCAGAAGCAGCGTTTGTGCTCCATGTATAGAGAGACCCGGCGGTTTATACTGTTGGACAGGTTAGCTTGAGATGTGGATCTTTGGACTAGATCAAATTCCATCATGTCAAGATATGCACCAGGAATTATGGAAATAAAAATCGCACAACAGGATGGACTGCGTTTTAACAGTGCGACAAATTCAAATGTAAGTGTCGAGATGCAATGCCTATGATGATTGAAAGCTGTGCCAATGCCGGATTTCTCTCATACTTGTTGGTGCGACATCTGTCACAACCAAGTTCAGGCTAAACCGCGTTAGATATTTCTTTTTTGGTGGACGTCGCTTGTGCGTGAAGTTCTTGCGTCACTGCAAAGCTCCCGAGATGTCGACTCAGTCTGGTATGTTTTAATTATACACCTTGTATGATTTAGAGGGGCATGGGTTTATCCATCAAGTCCACTTTATTCACTCCGTTCTGTTCTTCTTCAGGTAGCTAACCGAAAAGTAAAATCAGCTAGTTTATATGGGTTTTCGACGGATAAAACCAGCTGTTTACCCCGCCAGAACGTTCAGCGTTCAAACAGACAGTATTCAAAAACGCCAAATTCGTCAAAGAAGCGAAAGGTTTCACCATCGGATTCTGATATGAACATTCAGGCGGAATATGTACGCAGGAATAAGCGTCTTCAGAAGATGAAATAGAAGCATCAACACTAGCAGGAACTGTGGTGAACGTGCCACTTACGATTTAAAGTTCATTTTCCGGGTGCCCGGGAAACTATGTTTTCACAATCCAACAGTATAAAAAAAAGAAAGTACTGAATGCAGACATTCTGGGGTTATGGGGATATGGTGTATGGCTTCATTCATGGGCATGCTGAAGAGGTGATGTTATTTGCAATGCTCATTTTTATTTAATGTGCGCTATTCTTCATGTACAGTATATATAATTCGCACTTTCCTGCATAAATAAATGGGATTTCGCACTTTTTTGGGCATGTGTTTATTTACTACTAAATTCAGAAGAATTTTTATTAGCGTCGTCGAATGCAAAAGTTATGTTACCTCTTTTGATGATTAATCTACTACTGTAGTCAAATGCTCCATTTAATCATGACCAGTGTGGGTTATTTGGAATACTGTATTGGTATAGATCTGAATGCTCTGAGTTTATATAAATAAAATATTTGCGGAATGATCCTTTTCAGGGATGAGAAGGATGGTGCAATTAAACCTTGATACAATAAACTTCTATTAACCGAAGAACGAATCGTTAAAGTCATGACGAATCAGTTATTTTCAGATTATCAAAATTTAAAACATTTTCCTGAAGTCTCGTGTGATATTCTGACATGCTTGTACCCAAAGCATTTTCAAAATGCAATTTATTATCCCAGAAAAATCTTTCAATATCTACACAAAATTCAATACAGGTACTAATAGTACAATATACAGTTTATTGACATATTGCAGGTGCAAAAGCAAAAGACAAATTCGTTCATTGCACTTAAAAAATGTTTTATGCAAAAATATTCTACAAGTTCAAAAATAGCTTAACTCTTTTTTTGATCCACCTACGCTGTATATGGTGATGAAATCCAGGGTTTTTACGCCCGGCTCAGAACATTAGCATACTTTTAAATATCCGCTTTATACATTTCCTTCAATTTGGCATATTTTAGATGCTTAATCTACCGCTGAGAAAGAATAAACAAGGCATGGATTTCCTACGAAAAGTTAAGACCTTAAGAGTTTGCCCTTTCTTTTAATCCTCGAATGTTTGTTTTGCGTCCTTCAAATTAAGCTTGGTTTTTTCCCCGCGAAGGGCTTCAAATATATATTGCATCTACTCTTCACTTTCAGATATCCACGCATGCTGTTGCCTTAGGAAAAGGTGTCGCTCTTGTCGTTCTAGTGCATCTCTTTCGTGTTTGCAATTAACGAGGTCTAAATTACGTTGTGTGACTCGCGGTATTGTTAGGAACAGTGTCATTTCGAAAAATTGCGAGTTATCTCATTGGGATAAGTGCCATTCAAATAAATCAATCACCTGAATCTCGTAAAATTTATAAAACTTAAGTCATAAAAATAACAGTGCCTTTTTTCATCCCGAAAATGATCCTGTAAAATATTATTTATTTTGACGAATGTATGTTTATCTGCTAATTTAACGATTGTTTGATTGTAAACAACTTTTTCATATATTTTCTCGAATTATTTCTTTGTATAACGAGCTATTAATGATCTTGTATACATGTATTGGCAGAAATATACAGCAGTATATGATTATACAGTATATGAAATATATATGAACATTCACAGTTTTTGGATCGCAGTTATACTTGAACGTACAATATTGTGTTTCCTAATCGTTTTCACTGCGTCATGTGGATACAAAATGGCATATTATGCATTGAAGGCATTGGATTTTTTTAAAGAGAAAACTGTAATAGTTTCAATGCTTTATGAAGAACTGTTGAAGATATCTCTATGTTTGATTCCGCATCTTGTTCTGACGAGTTTAGTACTGCTGTGTGTCTGTCAAAATCAATTCACTGCTGTATTTATACTTACACTGGCCCGATACGCGGAACGCACCCGTAATTTTATTAGTTTATATAATTTTTGGTGGAGATGAGATTAGCATTTCGTAATTATTTTATCCGTTTTTATTTAGATATAATTTTACTTAGCGGTCATGAAACAGGAGACGCACCGATTGTGCCTGATAAGGGGAAATCCCCATGTTTTTGAGTATTGCGGACGAGATGTCATCTT